GGCCATTCACTCACCTTGGCCTCCCAAAGTGCTGGGATTACTGACTGAGTGACCAAGCCTGGCCAAAACATCTATTAATAGCTACCTCTGAGAAACCAGTTCTGTCTTTGGCTAGTGATTAGAGGGTAAGTTAAGTGAACTGCTAGAAAAACATGAGATTTAGGCAGTGTTAAAATGGCTGCTCATTGGGTATATTAAATCCATGCTATGTCCTTTCATTTAGCTATTGGAATAAACCTTCTCAGTATTATTTCTTAACTCAGTATTCATATTATACTATGAGCTGTAACTTGATATAGTACATTCCAATGATCTAGGTGTTCTGAAAGGAAAATGTTATATTTGGGCAGAGAACATGGTAAAAGGGAAATGACTGCTTAAGCACCGGGAATTGCTCAAATTCTTACTTTTTTTCTAAAAGACTCATTTGAACTTGTTGAGTCTTCCTTTCCATCCCCAACTAAGATCAATATATAGGTGTCTTAAGTAAAATTGGCAATAAACAAACTTCAGTAGGATGCTGAAAATAGTTGAGTGTATTATTGATAGTTGTTTTCTCATTCTATTGTAATCAAGTTCTAAACATAATTGTCTAAATGGATTCCCTTCTTCCCTAATTTTGTTGATAATTGACAGCGTCATTGAAAATACAGTGTGTGAAACTTGCCATTTTAGTCTCATTAGCTTTGCATATTTTGGGCTGTACCTTCCTCTTCCAGAAACCTTTGTTTGTTCAGAGAAGCAGGAAAATGCCAATTGCCCTATTTTAGTATAGGATTAAAATACACGTGATAAGGACCTCATGGGGCCCAGCTGTTGGCTGGGTTTTCAATCCAAATAGAGAAGAAAATGCTGGCTATTCTTTGGAAAGTAAAGATACTGTGCTCTTTTGCTCCACTAAGGAAAGAGCAGCCTCGAGTTTATCTATGAGGAACAGGGAGACATAAATGAGCCCTCAACTCTTTTAGTTATGAAATCATGAATTTATCTTATTAAACATTGTTATAGGCTGGGCTTGGTGACTTGGCCTATAATCTCAGCACTTTGGGAGGCCGAGGCGAGTGGATTGCCTGAGCCCACTGGCTCAAGACCATCCCAGACAACTTGGTGATACTTCGTCTCTACAGTAAATTTTTTAAAAATTAGCCAGGTGTGGCAACATGCATCTGTAGTTCCAGCTACTTGGAAGACTGAGGCAGAAGGATCGCCGGACCCAGCATGTCGATGCTGGGGTGGTCATGAGCTTGCCACTGCATCCCAGCTGGACGACGGAGTGAGACTCCAACTCAAAAAAACAAAACAAAACAGAAAACATTGTCATAATGGACACTGATTATTAAAGTTTCAGAAGCCATAGGACATTGCTAATGTCTGTTCTGGAAGTCTGGAATGTCAAGAGAAGAGTGTTCTTTTACTGAGGCAAGCTGGCACCAGTTGGGTCAGTTCAAAATTACCCCATTTGTTGGATTGCTAGACGAAGATAGGTTTAAGAGGACCAAGATGTCTGGAGTTGAGCGCCTTCAGTGGAGATTAAAATGTAGCTCCAGTAATCATTTTTTTGTTTGTCTAATGTCCTCCTTTGCAAATCTGAAATTTGAGCATTAGAATTTTATTTTACTTTACTTCTTAGTAGATTTTCTTGTTGGAATGTGGACTTAAAAACTGATGTAGGTATAGATTAGAAGTTATTTTTAGGGCCTGATGCAGTGGCTCATGCCTGTAATTTTAGCACTTTGGGAGGTGAGGCAGGAGGATACTTGAGGTCAGGCGTTTCAGACCAGTTCAGACAGCATAGCTAGCCACCCCCCATCTCTACAAAAATTTTTTAGATGGGCCTGATGTGGTGGTACATGCCTGTAGTTCTAGCTACTCAGAAGGCTGAGGTGGGAGGATAGCTTGAGCCTAGGAGTTGAGGTTACAGTGAGCTATGATCTCGCCACTGCATTCCAGTCCAAGTGACAGAGTGAGACCCTGCCTTAAAAAAAAAGAAAAGAAGCTATTTTTAAAGGCAAGCAGAGTTAGTGAAAGGTATAAAACCCTTCACATTATCCTATTTCATATACTATTGTAGTATGTTTGAGTTCTGGGAATATGGTAAATATTTTGCAGGTGTGAGCCTATTGATGATTAGATAGTATTTCATTTCTTCGCATGTTATTTTGTTTTCTGTAATGTCTTTGGTACTTTATTACTGCACAGAGTCAGAAACCAGGTAATTTGAATTTACTTCTTTCACTGACTGAGATTACAGGATTTAAGTGACTAAACACACTGCTTTTATTACCTTTTAACTCATCCAGTTTTCTACTTGGCTTTCCTACTGTAGGGTCCTAAGGGAAATAAAGGAGGGTTATTCCTAGAGCTAGTGTAGGTCACAGAGGTAATGATAGCAGTGGCATTGGACATGTCAGTGTAGTAGTATTTTCCTTTTTCTGAACTTGAAAAAGTGGTACCAGAGTTTAGAAGAGATGTTAAAAATAGTAGTGTGCTAAACTGAACTATACCTACAAATAAACTGAATGATCCCTGAAGCCATGCACTAGTGTATTGAAGCTCTGAATTTCCTTCCCCTTCCTTTTATATGATACTAAACTGTTTGTTTCATATGAACATCGAGAAGTCTTTTTTCCCTCTGGCATGCATGAAATAGATGGCAAGCAAAGCTTTGTTTGGGCCTCTTTCTGAAATCCAAGATGACAAATGTAAGATTGTAGGGAGTGTGGTCATCTTTTCCACAGAATAGAGACTACAGGGTGGCAGACCTTAGTGCCCATGCCTCTTATCTAGACTCTAGCTTTGGTCTTTCTGGTTTTAGAGGAACAGTCCTTCTCACATTATTGCCCTTTTTTCTTAGAACTGGGGCCTGATGATATATATATAATCATCTAATCAAAAAAGGCTCTTCTCAGAGACCTTGGCGCTTTATTTTTGAGTTGGAGTCTCTTTTACCCAGGCTGGAGTGCAGTGACACAGTCAGAGTCACCACAGCCTCAACCTGCTGGGCTCAGGTGATCCTTCTGCCTTAACCTTTCAACTAGCTGGGACTACAGACATGTGCCACCATGCTAGGCTAATTCCTTCCTT